TTACATTGGTACAATATCAGCGAATACACATTATTTACAATATACCTAAAAATAAATTTACAACAAGTATAATGTACCAAATCAATGAATAATACGACGAGTAAATAATATGGCGAATGAATATAACAATGGTACAAATATGAATACATAGAACATAGTAAAATAAACCAACAATGAGATGTATATAACAAATTGACAAGATGTATGCAATATGGTTAAATAGAATGATAATGCATGCGATTGCGAAATTATCTTTTGCACTTCACCGACACTACACACACCACCACTTCCTTTCCAAAATGATGTTGGAGGGCCGCGTCCTAACCGCCACTGTAGACGCGGAAATTTCTCCTCCTTCACGAGGACCCATCTTGCCATTCCTGGAACGTTGGAAGATGGCCTTTGCCACCCTAACCTGCCTTTCAGTGTGGTCAAATATTCGAGGTACCACGACTTCCAGAAGTGTTGATGGTAAGCGTGGATGAGGTGCCAAGGGATGGCCTGTTGATGGGAACGACGGCGTGGTTTTTTCCTGAGGGACCAGTTGATGGCTGGCCGAAAGAGGCATTGGCCAGGTATAAATGCGACCAAATTATTACGGTCGCTGGATAGAGGCTTCGAAAGGCGCGAATTCAGGACGGCTTTAACTCTGACAATGAGCGCATACACGCCCTCGCCCTCAAGATGGTTTTTATCAGTAATTTCGTTATACTTCCGGCTATTCATATTTAAACTCTTTGAACTAAGATTTAAACGGTCAACAACCTCGCAAAGTTTATTGGAAGAAACGTGGGGATTTAAAATACAATTGTGTGACAGGTAAACGGAATTATTTGCGGAATTTTCGTTAAGTACCTTCAGGTGCACAAGGTCTAGGTACTTCCTTTGAGAGACAATAAAACCCTCGTTACGTTTATGATCACGTCCCTCTGCTAACAATAATAGTTGGAGAGCGAGTTCTGGGGAATTTCGTAATTTACGTAGATTTTCGAAATAAGGGACTGTGGAACGCCCCAACTTCCTGTCGACTGATAATAGCCACTTTGGGTGCATTTGTGCAAAATTCTCTAACCGCGGCTGATTTTCCGAAAAGGGGTGTTTGACCATGAAATAGCCATCGGGTGAATGGCCTGTGGTAGTATACTGAAAAGGGGTTACACAAAGATCGCTTTTAAACCCTTTGCTTAATGACCTGCTTCCGGTTTTGACGGTTTCAGCTTCCAAGAACCGAGAAATAATTTGGGCTGAACTAATTTTGTGATGATGGGAAGTATTATTTTTTAAATATGCAAAACTGCCGCTAAGAATCAACCCCAGCGCGGTATTTTGAAGCACCGGTGGGTTTTTACTGAAATGATTTTTTATTTTGGCTTTAGTATTTTCGGAATGTTTTTTGTTGTCAAGTATTGCTACGTTTAACGTATTGTCTTTAATATTTGAGTCTACGGATTTACATAAATATTGAGATCTACATTTAAATTGGTTACAGACTAACAATGAGTCACAGTTTTTCGAATTAACTGCAGTACTTTTTACTTTGTCTAGTGCGGTAAATGACTCTGCATTAGAAGTTTTATCTAAATTAATTTGAGATACGCCTTCGGAGTTGTAACAGTCATTAAAAAGATGATTTTTATTTTCATTGAGTATTGAATTTGGAAATTTGGGACAATTCGATATTATAATAGGAGTTTTTGAATCAATGGAATCCGGAGGAGATTTTTTACCAATAGTGAACCGCAATTTACGTAGAGCATTGAAATGGGTTTTGTGAATTTTGATGGGTTCTCCATTTCTTAATTTGTGTACCTTTAAAGGCTTTAAATTTTGACAAGTTTTTTCCAGATCCGTGGTTGGTACGTTATTGTTTATCTTACATGAATTCGAGAAAGTACACAATGGATTAGTTTTTTCAATGAGAACATTATATAATTCGGATATTTTTTGAATATAATTTAGCACGTCTCTGATATTATAAATTATCGGTTTGATCGTTTCCGTGTTACTCGTGTCATTCGGGACTACCATTGTTTCGGATTTTTGCTGAACTACAAGCATTTGTAATTCTGAATAAATTCGCTGTACGTCTTCAAATCGACGCTTTAAGTGGCCTCTTTTTTGATGATTTGCAACATTTGATATAAAATTAGAATGTGAATCTATTTCGCTGAGAAGAATTGAAAATTTAACAAAAGTATTGTCTTGGATTACCACCATCTTGAGTACGAGAATAATGTATTACACCAACCAAACAGAATTAAAGCCTACCTGGAATCCTGGATAGAATTATCTTGGCTGACGCTGAATGATACTTGAAGATTTTGCACAGCACTCGCGGTCGTCACCGATAGTTGAACACTGCGCGGATGATTTCTAGGTGATGTTTTGATAACTACTTTGCTGAATTCCAGCCGATGAATGATATGTTGAGAATTACACTTATCACTACCACTGTTATTCTGTCGCTAATCCGGCTCGAAGGACCATGTCGAAGTTTGTATAAATGAATAAAGACCAGCGAACAGTAAGATAAATGTATATTGATAGTGACAAGTGTTAGGATAAATAAGAATGATAAGGATAGAATATTATGTGACCGTGCGGTCGAGATAGTTGAATGTTAGTTACGAATTGAGAATTGAGAATTGAATGTGTATGAATGAGTTAAGAATTAAGAATGAATGCTACCCTGTGTTCCAAGGTGGGGGTGGCTCTGGCTCCCACCCTTACGGGTGGGGAGGGGTGAAACAGGTCCCCGCCAGAGGCTCTAACACATTGAGTGATCAAATTTTGGTTACTGTTTTTTTTTTATTATCGACACGGTATTCTCAAAATATGTAATTTCACAACAAATAGTTGCGCAGATTGCGGAGATTATCTGTCTGATAAAATTACCAACAAACTTCAAACAGTCAGAAATGGGAATCTGTTTTTTCATACTCTGGTGAACGTTGTAGAGGTTGTTAGGTAACGTCACCACCATAGAAAACCCGATGCTAAAAACAACCACCAGAATTAATTATTTGAAAGAATTTTTGGATATTCTTTAACCATTTAATAGCTTGACTTTATTTTTAACCAATCATGCAACTTGAAACTGGCAGTTATTAATTTCTACCAGTGGCGTATAGTTGCTTCACAGTTGCAAAATTCGTTCTAAGGCAACCAAAACAAACCATGCCAGCATTTACTAATCAGGAAGTAGGTCAAAATAGACGCATTTCGGGAATTGTTACTTCCCGGGGACGAAACTGGATACAGTGTTCACAGAAGTGTGATTTTGGACATTTTGGAAGGCATTTAGATGCGAATGCTGTCAAAGGACATGAACTGGCATGTCTGGTACAATCAGCCGTGCTGTTGGTACCTCAACATGTCTATATTATAGACTACTCTTGCACAGACCAGAAGAAGATGAAAATTTTATTGAAAATATTTTTTATACTCATGAATTAATATTTTCTTAAAATGGACTAATAAATTTTCGAAATCTTGACTCCTGATCCGTAAACAACCTTTTTTTAACACGACACAATCAACATCTGGTTTCCGTAAATGCATGGATTAGATTTATAGAAATCAAATTGTCGGACCATTTCGTTTACCAATCGTAAATGGTAATAGTCATCTCAAATTTTTTAGACGCTTTGACTCTGATCACTAAAAACGATTTATGGTACATGCAAGACAGTGCCCCACCACACTTCCACAATGATATGATCTTAACCCACAAGCGTAAAATGCAGCAGCTCTCTGGACAAGATGAATTTATCGACATCACAAATGAATTTAAAGATAATGAAAATATGTTGGGCACAATAAAGGCATCGTTATTACGGCGGCGTTTACAAACACGTTGGTATTGAACAACATGGTGGAACGCTTATTGTAAATTTGTTTTTTTTTTTAAATAAACTGCCTTATTGTTCCTACGCCACTGATTTAAAGTGAGATTTGGTTCAGAAACTGCTTTGATATTTACAAAAGTCAAAATTGAATTGAATGAATTTAACTGGACCTTACACCCTTTAAAGTAAAACAAAAAAATTAACGACAATTAAAGATTCGGAAACAATTTACCTTTACTATAACGCTAACATTAACTAATAATTCTAACACCCTGTAACACGTTTAAAAAATATGAAATTAAACATTTCCCAAGTAATCACAATTTCAATACTTCTTTAGAAGTTAATAATATTCTAATGTTTCAAATTCAATATTGTAAGGAATGCAAGAATAATAATATCAGTAGGTAATATTATTTTAAGAAATTGTTTTGAACTAGAATAACACAAAAAAATGTGTTGAAAGCTGATTGGGACATATAGCAAAAAAATTATATTCATTGAAATGTTTTCTTAGTGGAAAGAAAAATTCAGTTTTCCAGTTGTTGTCGGTTTGTCTATGTACATGTGTGTGAAAAAAATATATTTACTACTACTACAAATTTTTAATTTACCTTAATTTAGTTTTTTTTTACTTAAAAATATGCATCTTGTTATTTCATTAAGGTTCTCATATTCTTTAGAGTTCTTTACTCTCAATGTTCCAGAAATAAATGTATGAACTGGTTGACTTCAAATCATAAACTATATTTAATAAGCTCCAATATTAATGGAACAAATTTGAAGTAAGGTAAGTTCTATGTAAGAGGTAAAATTTTAGTTGTAATAAAAGAACAAACATGTTCTGCACGAAAAGTATTAAACACAGCTGAAATGTATTGCGTGAATGTCAGATTTATTAACTATAAGTGGAACTTTCCAGTTGATCGGAACATTCTCTACTAGCTTTCAAATTATTATTGCTATGTATTCGTAAAAATTTTACGGCTGGTTTAAAATCGATTTTCTCTCATTGCAACCCACCACCACAGTTAATTATTTAATAGTGACAGACTACATCTAACAACTATCTAAACATAATTAACAGAGCTAAGGAGAGGAAGTTGATGAAATTCCCTGGGGATTGTTAGAATTAATTTAAACAATACAAACCTCTCCATTGCTATGATCTGCTGTTTCTGATGCTGATAATGATACATTTGTGCCGACTGAGCTAGTCGTCTGTCGCCGGATGGTGAGGCGTCCTTGTTAGGTCCTGTAACTCCGTAAGCTGGATATTCCACATCTGACGCGTTCTTCACATGTTTCTGCAAACTAAAGAAACCCGACCTGTAGCATATTGTATATTTTAAAATATTTTTTCATATATAAATGGAAGAAATTGGGACGCAGTCAGTGGAAAATTTCTAGTTATTCCATCGAGTGATATGCGTTCCATTATTTGATTTATGTCTCTCGCAGGAAGTATGGGTGTGGGGACAAAAAAATCAGCACAAATTTTAAATCGCTTATGTTACTATTTGACACTTATCAGAAATTGTTACTGCTAGTTCTCCTTGGAAGTTTCAATATTTTGTGTGATAATGGAACACTTAAATGAAAGTAATCGTCGAAATGTGTTTGCCGAATTTTATACAGACCATATGTATTTAAAAAAGTTCTTCATAGTTCATCACTTTTTCCAAATGGAGATATCAAAAAGGACAACTTATAGTATTTTTAGAACTCTAAAGAATTCGATAGAAAAAAAGACAAGAAGTGGAATGCCAGCAAGAAAAAGCAAAAAATATGTTGGCAACATATTAAGGGAGAATAAAGTCATATTTTCCAAACGAAAATCATCTCCGTCATCAATATGTATTTAGAAAAACAAAAATTGGAACAAAAGCAAAAATGAAAAAGTCTTTCTGAATCATTACATAGCCAACTTTATTGCTGCATATAATGAATTAAACATTCAGTTTTTTCCTAAAGACAAAAATATCGGTTTTCCCAAATTTAATGCGCTGCATTAAAACAAAAATTCTCAAAACAAGTAGATATGGCCCAGATTGTGTTCTTCAAAGCAATAAGGTTTTACTAGTTTGAAATTTGTACTTAAACAAGGATTCTAATTTCGTTTTAATCAATAAGACACCTAGGAACTCTGTTATAATGTGGACACTCAGAAAGGTCTTCGTATATATTTAAAACGGAAGATATGAACATTTATCCTAAACATACACGTAACATTTACACAGGAAAATTTAAGTTTGTATTAAAGAACGGTCTCATATGATAAACAAAAAATCAGAAAATAGAAGATTGCCATTAATATAGGTAAACTTATCGTATTTCGTTTCATGTGCATTAGATGTGCATCTGTCATGTCCAACATGTGCATTTACACACAATCGATTTTTTAATACAAGTTGAAAAATAATATTGCGCAAGTTAAGAAAACTAAATATAATATGTTTCAGTTATCATTATCACTGTAGCAAAAGTTTATTTTCGTACAAATAAATACTATGCTTATAAAAGGTGCCAGGGGTAGCTGATAAATATAAATATTCTTCAAAATTGCAAGTAATTTTTTTGTAGAAGCAGCTTGTCTGTAATAATACGAGTGGTTGTTAATAGTGAGTCAAAGTCAATCCTAATTTCTACAAATTTGAATTTATTATAAAATCTAGAGCGTCCTCCTATGCTATACGTGTCCCTTGGCAGATCGCTCTCGTTTTCTTTTTTTGTTACATTTTAATCAACGATTATTTTTAGTAAAGTGATCATTGATTAGTAATACAAATGATTACAAGATATTATGTAAATGATACTAATTATGATAATTACCTACATAAGGGTAATCATTTGGTATAAGTAATAGGAATGGTATGTTTCTTTGAAATTCATTTTCCATGTCAATTCAAATTATAAATGTACAGAAATTGTCTTTGCCCCTCTTAAGAAACTGTTGCCAATTCTTAGATTAATCTGATAAACTTTTTGACTAAAACAAATACTAGTGTATTTTTGTCAGATTCCCAAGATACCTTTTGTTTAACCAAATATTTAGTACAACTATATTTTTCGTTATACACGTTATTTTATAATAAATTAATGCCCGTCACGAAAATACCTGGAGTTTTGTTCATTTCATCGATACATTAATATATTTAACAGGTGTTGCAAGACTTAACAGAAAAGATCTAGGTATGTTTTCATAAAAAAAACCAACACAATTTACACATATTAATAATAAACATGAATATACCTGTTAGTAAAATAAAAAAAAATAAACAATTAATTATTATTAAAAATCGGCTAGGGTTAAACTCAATAATTTATTTCTTAGTAACTAATTACACAGCAATTCTATACAAAATAAATCCGGTGGAACTTGATTGGATTCTCCGACACTCGCTGGAATAGACTCGTCGACTGAATAATCGTTTCCGACGGTGGCCTCTATTTAAATCCACACATTTCTCTCGAAGGATCGCGACCGCCGCTTCGTTACAATGTTTTTGTTTATTTAAGGCGGTCTTCGACTGGTATAAGTGAATAGATCGATTTTTTCTCAATAAAAACCTTTTTGTCTTCGTCTAATTATATCTTTTGCGTAAAATTAAGTCAAGTGTAGTAACTTTTTCACAATGTTTTAAAACTACATCTAATCTTTGTAATATTATTGTCAAAAGGTTTTTTTTTAAACCTCCTAAGAGTTGACACAATGATCGTTTACAAAGTCCGATGCTGTTAATCATCTTATCTTGTCAGTGGTCTGTAAATACGTTACACCTAAAGAGTTGTCACCTCTTTGTTTTATATTTGCACATTTTTTAAATGAGATAATAAAGGTAGAATACTTCTGACTTTTGAAATAATGAACTAAAATGGTCATTCCTTAACAAATATGTGTGTCACCCCTGTCACCTAATATTTTTTTAGACAATTTTATTGTTTCAAATATGATCCTATATCGAAAGCACGATACAATATTAACAGTGTTATGCCGACGACTGCCTAAAGTTGACTGCGAACACTAGCCAGTGTGGGAGAGAGAGAGGTCCCGACAAGAACAGAAATAGTGGTCCATTCTTATCAGTCGCATATCATTCTGTAGTAGGAACTTGTACAGTCGTAATTTGTTTCAAACGCACAAATTTTAGCAAAATGGACAAAAAATATGCCGCACTTTTGTATAAAATCGCATATTTGTATCTATTTTTAAGCAGTACCGACAAAGTATCAATGTTCGCTGTGTCCACAAAGTGAAGCAGTGAAAAAATTGATAGCGCGAAGAGAGCAGAAATACTAGGACCCCAATTATATTTGTACACAATCAAAAAATGAAAATAGGGACATATTGGTAAGTGGAAGCAAATATTGTTAATTTTTATTTTAACTTGAAATAGCTTCTTCAAACGATAAATTATACTTTAGTATTCATTTCTACATTCACAGTTTTCTGACGAGTGTCGTGAGTGAAAATGCTGGTAGCTTAAGGATACTTAAAAGAAAAAGAAAAAATAGTGAACTGAAAGTATTAATTTATAAAAAATGTATTCACTGATAAATTTAACATGTATCAAATTCTCATTAAAGGCTTTATTTTAAATTATAATATCAAAAATGAGATTAATGCAGAAAATAATACACTGATCTCTGAGCTCCCAAGATGTAACTTTAGAACGTTACAATGTTGAGTCAAACGTGGGATCATATCCTAATAAATTTATCTTCGATGGCGTGGGTTATACATTATCTTATTTATCAAATACATATAATAAAATAAACGTTCGCCGGATTAATTCCGACAAAAAAATATAATGCATGTTAATTTTTTATAATATAATTATTAATTTTATAAAGTGTACCATATTTTTTTATATAAACATTGCAGAAATCACAATTTATACGTTTGGCCCCACATATGTGCTTGATGTAAAAACTTCTAAAAATAAATGATTTTATTTCTAAAAATTTCAATAAGCACTCAGCAGAATGAAATTAAAGAACAAACAAATTTTGGAAGAAATAAAGAATGTAAAAAATTAAATGGAGAAAAGAAAATGAAATATGTAAAAGGATCGATGAAATGGAAAACTAACAAAACACTAGCATTTTATTTAAACAAAACAATCAAGTGCTTTTATTAAGTCTATTACAAACAATTGTCAGTGAATGAAAATGTTTGACAAGAAAATATTTTTTTATTGGATAAACGTGCTTATTATACAAAGAGAACAATTCTAACTAATTTTGCTGGCAATAAAATTCATGATCTCAATTAATAATTCTCAGATTTTCTGTTATTCGCACGTAAAAAGATAATAAAAAGACGCAAGTGAAGAGAAAATGTGAGTCAGAAATCTAAAGTGTGATAGGCATATTATACGACAAGTATTTACTTTCATCGGTTTCTCTTGTTGTCCTCGCACCGAAATAGTTAGTATAATAAAGGATCACTTAACTTACTGTAATTTATGACTACAACGAAGATTTATATGGAGGCAAATCGTAACTAGGTTTTTTTTTGGATGTCTGAAAACATAATTAACCTATATTTCCTATGTTAAAATCATGCAAGCTTAAGTTTTCTCAGTTTTCATATGAAATTATTATAAAAGATCATACATCACGTTGGCTTTGGAATTTCGAGATTTTTGCCACCTCGTTATGATGACTGATGACTATGCGTACTTGTAACTCGTCGTCTGTCACAAATAATGCACAAATATCAATCATAACCTAACTTCTTTAAACGTGAAAATATGCTTGCAACAAAATGGAGACCGCTTTGAACATTTCTTTTAGCAATGCCTAAAATATGTGATTCCCACACATTATTCATACCTATTTATGTTAAGTTTTACATTGTAGTAAATTGTTTGGTGAAACAGCAGTGACACATTTTCTTTTATCAATATGATATTAAAATTCTGCGGTATACTATATAGATCGCTAGCATGGGTCAATGACATAATCTATAAAATATTTAGATCTAACCGCTCAACAGAATAAAGCTAATGTATGAGGATGTATGTATATGTCGCAACTTAAAAACATTTTTGGTTTAACAAATGACTAATTTCAAGTTTTCTCTACGTTTGTTGTCTTGTACACAATGCTCCCGTATATGTGTTGGCGATTTTATTAAACGAGCGATTTCTAAAACTACTACTCTACTATCTGTAGAGGGTCGAACGACAACAAAAATTTATTTGTTGTCCTCTACCAGCAATTTCATGATGTACATCAAATTTTAATTTTATAAAATAATGTACTTCTTTATATACTTGTGGTTTACCATTCCGACCTTATTTTTTTAC